GAGGAGTTTAGCGCGTCTTCAATATCTACTGACTCCTGCAATCCTAATGGACGGTTTGTGAAGCGATCAACTGCCTTAGAGTAATTTGGAGGTGGAGGTGCTCTCATGTTGCATATTTCATGTTCTACAAATCTATTACCCATGTGAACGAAGCAAAGTACGTAAACAGGCCGTTGGATTAACACTGTTGGCAACACGCTTCGCAATCGGTTCCTCGGTTGAACATGTTCCTTTCGGCAATAGTTCGGTAGTTAAGACTCGTATTAGTAGTCAAACATGCCTGGTGGTCTCGACCTATAGGGCATGGTTTACCGAGGCACACGAAGAGTTCTTGAGCTTTTGTCTTTTTGATCTCGCTGAAAACCCGTATATCAGTTTCATATTGTATGGAGTTGCGGTGCGCGGAGGTCATCAACTGTTGTGCTTACCATGGGAGCAAGTTTAGGCATGAGATTAAAGGAAGTTATTACTAGGTAGTGCGCCATTACTTGTGCCACTACATCATAAGAAAAGCCATGTTCGGCCTGGAAAGGTCCAGCTGTGCGACTTGTGTACATGCACACCTGTTAGTATGATCCAAATAGAATATCTAAATCCAGGGATTACATGTAGTGAGACAGAGGTTGGCAGGCGATACCGCTGCGTGAGAAAGAGCTCCCGAAGATTTTGTCTGATAGGAGAAGTCGACAATAGGATAGCATAAGTCGCTCGTGCCACGTTCACACGAGGTGCCTACTATGGAAGCCTAGGCGCTACTATTGGAGCCTAGGAGTAATAAATCGAGAATCCCGTCAGAATCTCGAAATATCACGACCAAAAAGCCAGGTCATGAACCAGTGAACTAGAACCATGATCTTATTTCGTAGACTCATGGTCCTGGTGATGTAAGCCCCTCTCCACAGGATCCAGGCCAATCTCCCTGTCAGGCCCTCAGATGAACTTTGGGCGATGGCACGCCAGCTGCCAATGTAGGCAAGGGTGCCGAGATTGCGGAAGCGAAAGGGCTGTGCATTATTGCCAAAGGCCTCACAGGAGTCGTATGTGTTGAGAGCCTTAGCCAGGTACTTGGCCTGCTGTGAAGCGACCTGTGCAGTTGCGGGAAGAGCGTCACGCTCCATGACAGCGCAGTCACCTATGGCATAGACGTTGGGGAGGATGTGGTGGCCGGCATTGTCGCCGTGCTTGGTGATGCCATCTCCGGCACACCCAGCAGAAATACGGACGCGGAGATGGTCATCAGTGATGATACCCCCCTCTCCTTTGGCCTTGGCAAGATGCCAGGTCTGTTGCTCCTGCTGTTGCTGCTCCTCTGGCGTAATGGGGGAGCGAATCTCCTTTGAAACAAGTTTAGCAACCAGGGGATTTCGCATAAGACCCGTACTCCAGACGACGATGCCGGCGCCAACCTCGTCATCACCACGTTCCAGGAACTTGAGCTTGAGACCACTACCGTCCATGTCCGGACGGATACTCTGGAGGTGATGCTCAGTCCTAACGCGGATACCCTGGCGTCGGAAGGCGTCGACAGCGTAGGAGGATAGCCTCTTATCGAACATGGGCAGAATACCAGGCGCAATGTCATAGACAGTGATGTCGATGAATGGTATGAGGTCAGGGTAGAGCCGAGCTAGGTCATCATGGATGAGGTCGTGGAGCTCAGCGGCAAATTCTATGCCCGTAGGTCCGCCGCCAACGACAGCGAAATGGAGCAGCTTGCGGCGCTGCTCATCCGTGGTGGAAGGGCGTTCCGCACGCTCGAAACACTGTAGGACGCGAAGGCGAATGGAGCGAGCATCACCGACATCACGAAGGAAGTTGGCGTGCTCACGGACGCCGGGAACACCAAAGGTCTGGGAGTAGGCGCCAACAGCGAGGATGAGCTTGTCGTAGGGGATCGTGATCATCTCGCCCTTATGCTTGGGGAGGGTTTCCTTGGTCGCGGGGGAGGAGGTCTCGACAAAAGACACTGCTGAGGGGTTACTGCCTCTTTGTAGGCTTTCTGGTGAGGGTCGAGTGATGGGCGGTAGGGTGCGAGAGCTGATCTCGTCGCCGTCTGGATTTGTCTCGATACGGATAGTCTTGTTGGCAAAGTCGATATCATCGGCCCAGCCTTGGTGGAAGTGGTCTGGCTGCAAACGGCGGATAGGCTCGAGGATGGAGCGGAATTCGAGGGTGCCGACCGAAGTTGATGCCAACAACGGGGTGAAGACAAAGTAGGAGCGCGGCGAGATGATGATGCGCTCGTATTTGGCCGGGTCGAGATCGCGGGCAAGGGCATAGCCAGCCCACCCGGAGCCCAGGACGACAACCCTCTCACGCCTTATGTGTCCCTCTAAGCCCACTTTTGCTTCTATACCGGAAGTTTCGGCCGTTCCTTGAGGCTTCTGTTCGGTATTTGCGAGCCTCATGGTAGCAGGCACGGCGGGGGCCAATGGGCAGGCAGAAGAGGCGACGATATTATCGAGGCCAAAGAGGTATCGGGACCGAGGCCGGATCGGGCTTTGCCAGTAACTCCTCATCATCCCTTTACATGCCCCCGTGTCAATGGATCTAACCAACGGATCTGTAATAGGTGAGGTTCGTTGAAGGTGATGGAAGAGGAGAGGAACGGAGCCAAGAATCAAAGGAAAAGGCGGCCTGGAAGATGTTGGGGAACGCGAATCAGTGGGGCATCAAATCCATCACCGCTGATGGCATGTGAATAATCATAAGCTAGTCTAATTCGATTTGTAGGTGAATGATTACCCTAGGAGCCTTTTATGCTTTCTAATACTCTATATACTAGGCATAAAATGTTAAGACCACTCCTCTCATTGGAGCCGCTGGCAATGAAATGATAACCAAGTATACTTCTATAGACTGCATTATGACAAATAAAATCCCATGACCGAGCATCTTTCAGGAAAAAGCTAAAACTTGCACCAAACAGCCTGTCGTCGGATCGAGGATGCCGTTTTAGTCACCGATTCCCGAACAAAATCATTCTGCCGACACAGCCCATCTTAAGGCCGTCCCAGCCAGTTGCCCGAGTCCAACCGAGCCCGAAGATGCTTATTTGCCTGTTTCCGCTCGTTGGGAACTTCATCTCCTTCTCGACACGGCAGCCGGTGAGTTGTGCAGGTCAAAACCAATCGAACCATACCTAACTTGGCCGAAAATGAAGTGATCTACCAGCTACTTGGCTGACTCAAGATTATGCGATCATAGATCTCGGCAAGGCATATCTGAGTAATAACATTTTCTTCTCCCGAGCTTTTTCGCTTCGGCAACCGGGTTCTACGCACCCCGCTTCCGATCACAGGGTAAGTATGGATGGATGGATGGATTTTATTTCGCCCGGAGGGAAGTCCCTATAGGGCCTTGACACAATCTGGTTCACATTTCAGTACATTTGGTACCTGACGCCCCAAGCCCCACGGATCGTCGTCTCATCGCTTGCTGCTCAACCTACTGTACTACTACTACTGTACAAAGGATGCGCCGTTTTCTGTCGACATTCTGCTTTCTGTACAGGAAATCACATTTTCGTCCGTGCACCACCAAATAAAAAGCAAGTTCACCTAACAACAACCGAACTTATACCGAATGGAATCATACCACTACTACCCCATCTATCACACAATACTATCAGTTGTTATGAATGAGTAGTAGTAGTAGCAGCCGTGCTTGTATTAAGAAAAAAAAAAAAAAAAGGGGGGGGGGATATAGCATAGCGAGCCGCCAACTTGTCTTATTCTGGTCTGATCTTACCTTCATTATCTACAATGCCAACTACACCAGAAGCCCTCACCCATCTTGGGTTATGGATTGACCCTAAAATCAACCTTCTCATCTGTACCTAGCCAGAGTGTAAATATGCACTCAGCACTGGTTAATCTTGCGTTATATCTCACCTGCGGGACAAGCATAAGATCCCGACCAACATAAGGAAGGGCTTATCTCGACTACTCAAGACCCTACTGTACCAAGGGTTGCTTGTATTTTAGTAAAATACATGCTTTTTGTCCGTGCACACTTCCTCGTTCCCTGCAACCTTATGGCACTTCGCTTTTTCGGTCAGACGACACAACCCTCTTGAAGTCGATCGATTAGTCTCTCTTGTAGACAAACCGGTTAATTTAGAGATGTAGTCTAGAGATCTTAACGCGTGAGGACTTATTCTTCCAGCGGCTTCTCGAAGACCCGAGTAAACGTAGTCGACCATTGCTTCTAGACTAAGGCTAGTCAGGAAGATGTTATGCGAAAGATGAAACGAGAGGCCGTACTACGACGAAAGAGGCCTTAAAGTGCTTCGTCTAGAACCACGTCTCTAGATCCAAAAAGTGGTTGATGGGCTATGAAAGATACGACCCGTATAACTCTTGCCATCAGCCCTGCAGTGACTGTCATTTTTTACAATGGATCACCGTGTGGGACCCGTCATTGGCTACCAGAATGCATCTACTTTAGCGGGGGAAAAGGTCAATAACCAACACCCAAATCATCTGCCGTTCCTACAGGGGGTGCACAGAAAAGCGTCGCACAGGCGTCTTGCTTGGTCAGCCCGAAGCCGCACCAGACTACGCGTATGTGGTCGGATTGATCTGTGACTTATGTCTCCTAGAAGGAAAGCATCTAAGTAGATGCTGTATCGGGTCGGCCGCAGAAAAGAATGGTGGCAAGGCATCGATGAGGTCTGCGGCAGACCGGCAATTGGCGTGGTGGAAGACTGAGGTTGGACAAGGATCGTGGTGGCAGACGAAAATCTCTCATAAAATCTCTCAAAAATCAAGGCAAAAGTTCTTCATTCTCAGAGACAATAAGCTTGTCAGACTTGCTGTCTCTCTGACTCAAGGAAAAGATTCTCTGTCCAAAGAAGGTGATGATTCTGCCCTCTGCGAGCAGCTTCCTCCCCTACTTATCCCCCATTATATCTCTGCTAGCGACCAGCTAGCCCCAAAGTCCCAGACCGCCCGCCACACTACTCGAGACGAACAGTTGTAATTGAATGAAGCACCCCACCGAGACACTTCCATGAGCTTGCTACGGTCAAGGAGAAGCAAGAGTACCCGAGTAAAGAGGACTGAATGGCAACAGAACATCAGCTCCCTCGATCATGCCAAAATAGTTGGCATAGTTCGAACTTGAGCACGGCTCAGGAGGACTCGAAGGGGATCGTGGAAGAGTCGGGATTCTGGTTGACCACCCAAGTTGTCGACGAAACACAGAGAAGAGCTTCCAGTTGGCATGACGACCAAGAACCGAGGAAACATGCTCGACTCGATTGAAACTAGATATCCGCGCTCAAAGCCGCTAGACAGCAACAATTCCAAGAAAAAAAGTCTACACAACCATGTCAGATTTTCACAATGTTAGTCATATTGGCCAATCGAAAGAATTATTGGTTGTCTCTTATCCAACCGGACTTGTCGACTTCGGAGGCGTCCGCAATCGAGCAAGGCTAGCCAAAGATCGTTGCCGCTTCCGATGTAGACTCTGGCGCCCATGGGTATCTAGGACGACTGCATCCCCACCATTCAGATACTCATCGAGGACGGCATCATCAAGTTCAGGAGAAAATTTCCGTTTCCGAGGTCTACCCCTTTCTTCTTCTTCCTCCTCCTCCTGCTGACAGCCGGTTCCAGAAGTATCCTCTGACTCCTCAGTCGTGTACCCGTCATCAACCATCTCTTCTTGCACAGACCTTTGCCTCTTCGTAGGACTCCGACTTCCACTATCGGTCCTGTTGCCTGTCTTGAAGAATCTTCGTTGATACTCATCCGCGGCCATGTTGCGAACTTGCGAGCCGGCGGAGCCCTCGTTATCCACAATAACCAGCTTCCTCGGCACCCTTTGACCTAGAAACGGACTCTTGGAAAACACAGCCATCGCAAAACGACACAGAAAAAAGTATGGCGAGACACCGGCCAAGGGCTGCAACTCCAGATTGTGATACCGCTCCTGTATTTCGACGGAGGCGAAGTTCCACAGCGCGTGGACTACCCACTTCCCTGCTTTGGGCACAATGGCAAACCTGTGATCGTCCCACATCTTGTGCAGGTCACGACGCAACAAGATTGTATTGTCGGCGCATCGGGTATCTTGGCCTCGCCCTGGGTTGGCCGTGTACAAGAACATGCAGTTCTGTTGCCACCAGTCGCTCTGCGCAGCGGGTATGATATGCGCTGTCTCGTTGGGGAGAGCCGACGCGGTGATTCGGCATGTCACATCGCGGCGAATAGCGTCGTCGGCCGAGGTTGGGAGGATCGGGGCGGAGGAGTACGACGGCGGGAGAGAGGCAGGACAGAGAAATTCATCGAAAGTGGGTACGACTGGGTATTGCTCCTCGCCCTCTATACAGAAATAATACCGTCCGTGTGGAAGCACATCATCAGGGTGGGCGGATAATCTGGGGCCGTCTCGGCTCAACGAAAGGAAGCCATCCCAACGGCCATTGGCGAGGATGGCGCAGGAGATGTGCGCGGTTGCGTGATGAATACCGCCAGAGTCGAAAGCGGGAAGTGTAAGGAGGATATTGTGGTTATCCTTGTAGCCGGGGTGGAGGAAGAAGACGAGAGGCACGGTCGGCGCGCTGTTGCTGAAGGGTTGGCAAGGAGGCTTGAGGGACAGCGGCGGGCTGACTACTAGTATCGTTGTTGATTGGCTCATGGCTGACCTTTCAGATGCCGATGATACTGATTGTTGACTTGCCATGGGGCCGCGTTTTTCTGTCCGTCGATGGTTTGATGATCGATTGATGATTTGAAGTTGCGGAAGATTTTGGTTTGTTTGGGTTACGTCACTGGTCGCCGGGTAACCACGCCATAATCACGTGATTATCCACCTGATCTCCCGTGAGCAGACAAGCTTTTCTTAGCACAGGAGACGCAAACCGCAGGCGGTCTGCCCAGAAGAGCCTTGAGGAACGAAGTTAGAGACGAAAATCGGTCGACGTACCTTGAACAAATTTAATTATTTTGAGCTGATATGAATTTACGGATAGTTGAAGCAAGATCGGCAGCTCGGCTATTGTGGCGTCGTTGCAGGCTCGACTGTACGGAGTAGGTGGGGTGTGATTGGCATATCGAGATCATGAAATATATCTCCGGCTCTCTATAAAACCTCATGGAAACCTTAATAGCAACCCGGGCGGAGTTATATCACTGGCACTCACTCTCCCAAAAGCTTACGATTAGAAGCATTATAGTTAATTTATTTAATTGCAAGGAAGATACAGCATCTATAGTCCTCTCCCTTATTGTGAACATAGCGATGTGCCCGGTTCGGTTCCAATTTTCCTGCAATAATATCCCTGAAGGTCTGAATTTTACTCACGAGATTTCAAAGAGTCTCATCAGGTCTCTATCCTATGCCCGGCAAGATGATTCATACGCCTATTGTTTTCAATATACAGTGCTGCCTTTTTTGAAAGAACACAAACCGGCTTGTTGCGCAGCGTCCAATCCGTTTTGCGGAATTTGCAGATCACCCATCGCAACCGTTTTGCAGACTCTAATTTTCTTTCTTCACAAAGAGGGTGATCCCTACGTTGGGGTTCTTGTCAGCGGTGTGTGTGGGAAAGGCGAATGCGAAAGCCAGACGCAACAAGCCATCCAGGAGGAGATGTTTGAAGTTGGGGCAGGGGCTGAGGCTTGGGTGGGAGCTATAGTTTGCGCGGTGTGCGGAAAGATGGAAGGGATCAGGAAGTGCGGGCAGTGTAAAGCTGTGGCATACTGTGGCAAAGAACACCAGAAGGCAGACTGGAGACACACAGGGGAGCGTGTGTATCTCGGGACGAAGAAAGTGACTGAGCAGGGGAGTCACCTTATAAGAGTCGCCTTACAAGATCGAGAGTTATAGCTAGGTACAGGACAGTAGGGTGAAAGGGAGGAATAAATTCAAATGTAGAGGCGCCCGACACTATAGCAGTAACCACTGTCTACTCTCCATCGGTATATTTCTTGGGGGGGTGTTGTTGGATTGCGCAGGAATGCTGAGTGCACTTAATGAGAAAGTAGTTCTTATTGTGATTGTTCTTCTTGTAATCGAAGGACCTTTAAGACCTTATATCTTCGAGTGGTCCCTTCTAGGACTTGAGTCCTAGAAAGTCCTACGATCAAGTCCTACGATCTAAGTTTTAGGACTTCAAACCTTAACTTTAATCCTGAAGTTGAGGGGGAATCCTCAGTTCTTCCAACAACCTCCACACCCTGCCAACAACCAACCCACTTCGTAACGCTACATCCCGCATCCGAAAGTTCAGAAGATATCACCGCTCGCCATTTTACGACATGGCAGTGGCACTCAATGAGATACCAGTGGAGGAACTAGAAACGGTCAACCCGTTCACATTGGCACCTTGGGCAGAACGGTTACAAACCATCGTTGCCGACAAGACAGAGACGACACAAGCAGATCTGGGCTGGGCAGTACGCATCGCAGTGAGCTGTTCAGCACGGAACGGAGTAGTAGGCGTCGGTGGGATCATCGAGATCCCTATATCGGTGCGAGGAGGACCGAGGCGTGAGCGATTTTCCTTCACGCTTGGCGTGAGAACAGAACAAAATCCGTTTTCTGGGGAATTGGCGGCGATGGCATATGCAGTCAGGCACTTACCTGACCTCAGGTACCGAAGCGTAGCACTGTTAACGAGCAACAAAGCTGCTGTGCTTACGCTGCGAAATCCTCGCCAGCAATCTGGTCAAGAGTATGTTGGATGTATATACGACTCCATTGAAGCATTAAAGTGTAACGGAAATGTGGTAACCGCCATATGGATACCCATCAGTGCTGAACATAAACTCTTGAAGACTGCTAAAGAAGAGGCGCGAGATGCAACCCGAGATGGTGCTATCCCGGCCCTGAAGTTTCCTAGAATGAGATCAACAACCCTTAACTTGGCTCTAAGGAACCAGGGCACTAACCAACGCCTGCCAGACAACGTCGGAAGGTTTTCAAAGAGAGTCGATGCTGCGTTACCAGGTAAGCACACTCGACAACTATACGACGGCTTGTCATGGAGAGAGGCCAGCGTACTGGCACAGCTCAGGACAGGTATGGCCAGATTGAATGGATATCTCTTCCGGATTACAGCAGTAGCATCAGCACAATGCGCATGTGGACAAGCGACAGAGACGGTCGAGCATTTCCTTTTCCGATGCAGAAAATGGATAGCACAGCGGGCTCAAATGTTGCAGTGCACCGAGACACAAAGAGGAAATCTCTCATTTTTCCTGGGAGGAAAGGCACCAGCAGACGACGCAAAATGGATGCCAAATATGCAAGCAGTCCACGCAACAATACGATTTGCAATAGCCACAGGTCGACTTGACAATACACAACGGTAAAACCAGATGGCAAAATCCCCTACTTACTTTCTTACTAACCTACCTTACACCCCTCCATCAAAAACCTCGTGCCATGGACAGCAGGCACCGATTCAGCCGCCGTAGATAGGACTCTGAACACTTGGAGAATAGCCTTCAAGTTTGCTTGCTAATAATATATACCCCACGAGACCCGCGGAAAGATTGAAAAGGAAGAAGCAAAAGCAGAAATTGGACGCTGTATGGGTTTTTACGAGATTATGACAAAGCTTGGGAAACGGAAATGTACAATAGCAACTAGTGCCCTATTGGTTATAAGCCACCGGGCGTAATAAATTGTGTGTGTGTGTGTGTGTAGTGGATCATTACGTAAGCTGAGCGCGGCAAAGTGGATGTAATAGAGATGGGCCACTTATATGTGGTCCACGTGGATATGCAGTGTAGTTGGTTCGAGCCTTGGGTGAAGAAAGCACCGATCGTTGCTGAGCTGCGAACATGGAATAATACAGTCGCTCCGAGATCGAGTGGCAGTATTGGAGACACCCAGATCCATGTGCAAGAAGAGTTAAAGTAAATAAAATTACTAGCGTCTATTAAGTGCAGTTACATTCGCCAAGGTAGTTGGACAGAAGATACATGAAGAATGCACTTCAACACCAGATGCTATAGAGGTTGAGAATGAATTAATGCTTCGACTCGTGGCAGGGAAAGTGCCAAAATAATGGTGCCAGTCAAGTATGAGCCTATGCAAGGCTGAACCACTGTCCAAACACATTGGTAGGGTCGTATTTCTTCTTGAGCGTCCTGAGACGGCCGAGGCTGGAGCCGTAAATGGCGCTAAGGCTTTCGTCGCCGTGGGCGAAGTTGATGTAACTGCATTGATTGACTTGTCAGCTTTTCATCCTTGGGGGAGATTCATCCATCATCATCAGAAATGACTCACGTAGGGTTGACGGTCGGGCTGGCGGAGAAGCTCCAGATGTCCCGGACCTTTGAGCCGAAGGTCAGGGCCGCAGTGTCGAGGGATGTGTCCTCATACCACGGGATCACGATGGCCTGAGCGAAGGCGTCGAAGCGCAGCTCGTCGTGCAGGGCGGCCTTGCCACGCCCGACGGACTGGGCCTTGGTGAGGTTGTAGCGCTCGATCAGGATGGCCGAGTTCTCGGCGCCGGGGAGCTTCTGGAAGTCGGTGTACAGGGACCAGATGCTGGACCAGGTCGACGCCTTCATGTTGTTGATGGTGGTGCTCAGGGCCGGCTTGCGGCCGCCACGGCCACAGAAGGGGTCGTTGGCCGCGTTCCAGCTCGTGTAGGGCGTTACGGCGCTGGAGTTGGTGAGCGGGTCGAGGGCGTACAGCGGTGCGTAGGCCTTGCGGCCGGACGCCTCAGTGCCGCCGCGGAGGAAGCCGGTGACGAGGACCATGGGCGTATTCTCGGCGTCGCCAGAGTTGGTGAGCACGAGGTAGACGACCTGCTGGGGCAGCAGAGGCAGGTCCTGGATGGCCTGGGCGACCTGGGCAATCTGCGAGGGGGCGAAGGTCATGGACATGATCCAAGACGTGCGGTCGGCTGTGGCGAAGGCGTTGACGGTTGCGTACGTCACGACGCCGAAGTTGGGGCCGGCGCCGCGGAGGGCCCAGAACAGATCCGGGTCGGAACTCGGGGTCACGGTGACGGCCTCGCCGGCGGGCGTGATGACGCGCATGGACAGGATGTTGTCGACGAAGAAGCCGCGCTCGCCCATGATGTTGCCGTAGCCGCCGCCGAGAGCTGCCCCAAGAGCGCCGACGCAGTTGCAGTTGCCCGTCTGCACGAGCACACCCGCGGCGTCGGCGGCGGCGATGACATCTCCGACGAGGGCGCCGCCGCCGACGAGGGCCGTCTTCTTGTCGGTGCTCACGACGACCTGGTTCAGGCCGGCCAGGTTGAGCATCACGCCGGTGCCGAGGTCCCACTGGCCGGCCGCCCAGCCGTTGCCGCCATTCTGGGCGAGGATGGGCACTTTGTTCTTGGCGCAGTATTTGACCACGGCCTTGAGGTCGCTTTCGCACGTCGCGTTGACCACGACGGCCGGCTGCGGCGCGTCGAACTCGCTCCACCGCTCCCGCGCGACCACGCCGACGCCAGAAGACGAAACGAGGCTCTTCAGGTCCGCGGCCACCGAGCGGGCGCTGATGTCGATCGCTGCCGCCGCTGCCACGCTGAGAAGCTGCAGGCCAACCACGAGGTTCCGCATGGTGAAGGCACCCATTGACTGCATCTCTTTCAAGGGCGAAAGGGGTTGGGTTGGTTGCAGTGGTGGACGGATGAGGACGTCAGGGGCGAAGTCGGGGACGAGGAAGGCCGAGGAATGCACCTTGGGCTTGACAGGACGCCACTGGATTCTTAATAAGGATCGGCCCGGACATGATCAAGGGACTATTCAAACATGTCCGACCAACTGTCGGGTTGCTCATGCATGCCGTGCCATCTTCCGGCCCCTGCATGCCATCTTACGCCCCTGTAGACACTAATGCAGAGTCCTACGTTAGTTTGCATCTCGCTGCCAGGCGCACCAAACGACTGAAGCAACCGGCGTTGCTATCTGCATTTGTCTTCCCCGCGTCTCTTCTCCAGCCCAGCTCCCTGGTTACCAGGGCCTGGGGTCGCTTGAAAACGGTGACCAAGGATACGGTAACGGTAACTATCAAGACCAGACCCGGGGCGCCACAATGATTATGTCCTCGGCTCCAACTTTGTAAGATGAAGAAGAAAATCCAGCCATGTTCCCGACGGCTCGCCAGTGCTTGCGCTGCTTACAGACTCTTCGGTCTAGTAATCTCCAGAGACAGGTGCACTAGTCCCAGTTTCCTTTCCTTGCTCGCCTCGCTCGGACGTAGACACAAAAATGGAAGCATTTTGAAGCATCACTTAAGACATAAATACCGAATACTGGCGTGACTCTGCGCTTCTTCGTGCTGCACAACAAGAACCCCGCCGCCGTCGCTGCCTCCACTACCTTCAGTTCTTCCACGCTCTAGACGTCTCGCTTCCTTCCCAGGGGCCATGCGGAAAATTCGGCTGGCCGCAGGTTGGTAGTGCTGGAGCTGTCGGAACTCTCGATCGTCTGCTGTATCGTCGTCTGTTTGACAATGTCTCTCCTAGCAAGCGCTCCCGACCCTGTTTCTCTGGCATCGTGGAGTTCCATCTCGTCCAGCTCCTCGTACGGCAGAGTGTTGGCAGTGGCCTTGTGACCGCCAGTCCGCCTTCCAGAGCCATATCTGTACTCGTAGGAGTCGGTCCCTGTAGTCACCGGCTTGGGGAACAAGTACTTCCAAATAGGCCGTAGGGTAGGCAGGCAGGCGCACACGACGGCCAAAGATAGCTCAATGTTCGTCCAGAAGAACACAGGCGCAGTGTAGTCTAGCGCTCCATGTCAGCAAGCGAGCATGGCGAGGATTGGCAAGGTGGGGGAGATCTTACAGATGACATCGTTGGGGTGGTTGATATACTCGGCCGCGATCGAGTACGTTGCGACGACACGAGTGACACTTACAGCGCATACCCTTCGTCTCCCATTAGCCGGTGATGCTCCATTACACACATACATATCCGCAGGGAACTTACGCAGCACCCAGACCCAGCATTACCAAGACGGCCATCTTCTTCTGCATCCGCATCTGCAACCCCATGACCATGGGAATGGGCAGGACGAGGATGGCGAAATCGGCAATGACATCGGTGTAGAGTAGCGAGAGGAACATGGGGACCGTGTCAACGCACGAGTTGTGGTAGTAGGGCTCGATGAAGACGGTGATGGGGAAGCAGGTGAAGAGGTGGGAGAAGAAGTAGCTAATGGTCCAGCAGATCACGTAGACGAGCGCGCCGTACACGCACCAGCGGAACTTGCGATTCGGGAAGAGGGACAGGTACAGCACAAGGATGGACGTTTTAATAAGACCCAAGCCGAGAACCGATATCATGTTGAGTGCGAACTTGGTCTATTCGGCGAGCACATGGTTAGCCCTCCTCTTCGTATACAGCTTCTGTGGCCAAGAACAAACAAGATGGGGAGGGGAGGGGAGGTTGAACTCGCCTGTTCAAAGAAGATCAATCCGGGATCGTCCATGATTGGAGATCCGTCGGCATTCAGCGGCTGGTGCTGTCCGAGGTGTCCATGGAATGCAGCTGTTCACACGGCTAGTACCATGCCTTCCAGGCAGAGGTGGCGCTCTAATTGAAGCAACAGAGGGCAGAAGAGTCAAAACTTACTAGCTAGCTGCAAGGCGCAACAAGTATTCGATACAAGCTTGTGATGTCGCGGTCAGCACGGGAATCAGATGTTCACAACGTCTGAAGTCGCCAGCCACCTACAAGTGCCGCTCCCGCCACGTAATCGTCCAATGTGAAACGCTTGACAAGCAACTTTGCCCAGATACGCAGCGCGTAAAAGAAAATGGGAAGGATCATGAATGCAATGGCCAGGCCGACCATCTGGCCTTTGGAGTAGTCATGCTTCATGGCTGCAGCCAACAGATCGCAACACTGATGGGTAATGAAGTCACCTCGCTGGAGGCGTAGGCAGTGTGGTGTGATCGGCAACCACGATGGACCTGGGGAAGGTCAAGTTGAGCGTTGAACAAGATAAAGATAGAATGGGGTGAGATGACGGGACCAGAGCGAGAGTGGATTATGTTGAGGGAGATGCCGTAAGATATTTTCGCAGACTCTAGACGGCTGGAGGAGCACTCCTGATTATTGCGATATCAGGTACATGTCGTGGCGTTGCCTGCTCTACGCGGAGAGAGTCATAGTTTGGTCGAAGCGTCCAGACCTTGACAGATAAGAGTCCTTCCCTCCCTCTTTTCCTCCAACATCCCAGCACCCTTACTCTACCGGCTAGGGGTCGCCTACAGTACTATGTACTGCACTGCTGCACTTACCCCTGTACAAGAACAGGGCAAGCTGGAGTGACATCAACACGATATACCGGGAAGCCTGTGTATTTGGCCAGTTTATCACAAGGTCCCCCGGCAAGAAGCCGGCGGCTTGTGGGGCCCATGGCATTGGAATGCCGGTACTGTATCTAAATAGCCAGGGTCGTAGATGTAATCTGTAGTAGGAAGGTGGCTAGGCCGGGGCGCCCGATTTATGCTTTCTTTCCGTCTCCGAGAATGGACATTGCCCCGCCAGAGCTGACTCGCGTCAAGGTAAGAGCAACAACTCTGGGACCCTCTCGCAAAAGCAAGCATGACATGGAAGTCTATGAATATCTAGGTAAAGTTGGTAGTATTGCATCGCCAAATCAAAGGGGTGGTGGTGAACTGCGCCTCCATCATAGTTAAACGGGTGCACCACAGGCAATGATTCCGAGTCATTCTGGCAAGCTGACGGTTCCTTGTAGGGCCTGAGTCTTTTCAAGGCATTTGATACATAGACAATCGTGGTACAATTTCCAGAATGGTTTGGAGAGTCAAGTCGGGAAAACGGGTAAGTTACGTGGTGAGCTCCGTGCGTGAGTTTGACAGCAATACGGGTCAGGAACGCGCTTATGCGGGCGCAACGCAGTGACTAGTACAAACCTGGTTGATGGCACGAAGACTGGGCGTAGCGGGGAAGTATTGCCGGATCATGTGCAGCCAAAGGGGCCGAGGGAAGTGTGACGACGGCTGTGTCGCGCAGGGTTCTCCGACGCAGTAAACGGAGTTCTACATATCGGGAGTCTTGCCCCGAGGAGTCGAAGTCTGTTGGTCTTTTTACCAAACGGGTAGAAATCTGTCTGGCCGGCTGCCGCAACGCCGGCACCGCCCCGGACCGAACCCTAAAGTGAACCATGCAACCCCGAAGCAGTGTGCCAGTATCAGACAGGTTTCGGCAGAGAGTTTTTCCTACATGTGCGTTATGCTAACCATACCATTATCACTCTCGAGGGGAAGGCTTGGGACTTGTACCGGCGCTGCTAGATTCCCCCACGTCGCACTCACGTCGACGGTTTAGCTAGAGGAAGGGTTTCGGCTCGCCGAGGACATCTTCGAAGCACCTGTCTTGTTCCCTCTAGCGTTCTCATCGCCTCAGGGGTATTATTACTGTTGAGATCCGTGGTTTAACGGATCAATGGCTATTCCGATCCATTGGTGGATGTCTTCTTGTCAATAGCTTCCGCTGGTTAGCGCTAGTCTTTTTCTCCTTCAATCAACATAACATGCTCATTTCAACAATTACACCAGGGAAACTATCTCGGCCCAAGCGCGCTTCTGTCCCCATATGTCGACTGTGATGCTGTCCTATTGCTGAGGCCATAACTGAGTAGGAATAAATTAACTACCTGTGCTTCTTCAGCCTTGCTATTGAAGACTTTAGCTTTGCTTAGGCAGTCTCTGTTAGATTGGATCATGTACAGAGCATCTGATCGGGTGGTCACGTGGTGACCACCCAGGGTCCGGCCGAGGGCTCGCCCCTGACCAACGCAGAGATAGCCTAGTCAAGAACAGGGACAATACACAGTGATCAACGGCAAAAGTCATATGAGTGCCACGCTAGCTTTCCGACAATAACCCCTGACCAACGCCGAGATAGCTCAGTCGAGAATACAGATAATACACAGTGATCAACGAAAAGGTCATATGAGTGCCACGCTAGCTTTCCGACAGATGTTGGCCAAAGGCTGTTGAAGTAGTTAGTGCCGTTGTACTCTCCGTACATGTAGTTCGAGGTTTCGACGCTTAGTCAATTGTGGGGCGTAAAAAGCCAATTAGATTGCTCGCATCAGGAATTTTAAATTCGCGGGTACCGCGAGCCTATGGGCTCCCGAAAGCACGGTCTTGATGAGTCAGGCGCGCCACCAGCCATAGGCCACTAGCCACTGATCGCCACAGCCCGCACTTCATCTCGCTAGATGTTGGGGTGATTGGTGGGGTAATGGCTAGTCCGGCGGTACAGTGGGTTGCTTGGGGGCCTGGAGACAGAGATAGTGGGGGCAAGGAGTTTTCAAGGCCTACATTTAACCCCGCATCTCCCAGGAATTGACTCTCTCTACAGATTAGTCCTCTTGGATTCGACACTAAAACGAGACCGCTCCAAGTCTAATCCTTTGCCATGGCCGAATCCAATGAGCAACCGACCTCTGCACCGGCTCCCAGTACCGCCTCTGAGCCAGTCGCTGAGCCAGTCGCTGAGCCAGTCATTGAGCCCGCCGACCAGATTACTGTCGTAAGGAGATCCGAATCCTAGCGTAAACACCGCTCTGAGCTGAAGTCTGAATCTCGCTACAGGATCCAGGTTTCCAGGACGGAGATAACGACTCCACTCTTGGTGATGATAGGTGCGCTCTCTGCCGAAGCCATCTGTTTGGAACCTGGAGGATTAGACTAATCCTCAATAGGCCCCTCTCCACAGCTTCGATAAGTGCAACGATTCTCGAGTATCGCAAGCTGCATGGAAGGACATACCATAACTTCAAGGCCGCTGAGTACTGGTATTGACGCCGTCGCTTACCCTGAGTAGTGAACTCGTGATTATCCAAGGGTGACTGACAAGCGGCCGCCAGGGGACCCAATGATGAACAGCAGAACGAAGGGCTCGACATAAAGTAGGTATCACAGCCACTCAAAAGCATTTCCCAAGGACAACCGCAGAGTAACACTTAGCAAGCCATCATATGCTGAATCTAGCTCTTGACAACGAACTCTTCCTCGCACCGCTGAAGAACCCGCAATCGGTTCTCGATATTGGCACAGGAACAGGCATCTGGGCCATGTGAGCCAACCATATTTGCTCTTTCTACACGCAGCACTAACTCTTGCGCCAGCGACTTCGCAGACGAGTTCCCCGAGGCCGAGGTGACAGGTATCGACCTCTCGCCAACCCAGCCAAGCTGGGTGCCGCCGAACTGCAAGTTCGAACTCGACGATGCCTCACAGGAGTGGACCTTCCCGGACAACACTTTCGACTACATCCACATCCGCTACCTGCTGGGGTGCTTCAAGGATTGGACTACGCTATACAAAGAGTGCTTCCGGTGCCTCAAGCCGGGCGGCTGGCTGGAGCATCTAGACTGCAGCACACTTGTGCAGTCAGATGACGGGTCCCTGCCGGCGGACAGCGTCTGGACGGAGTGGAGAGAGGCATTCGCCAGCATCAGCGAGAAGACGGGACAGACTTTCGAGGTGATTGATGACGACAAGTGGGTCAAGTGGATGGACGAAGCTGGCTTCAGTAACATCCAGACGAAAACCATCAAGACGCCCGTAGGCGGGTGGCCGGCAGACAAGAAGTGGAAGGAAGTTGGCCAATTCAACAGGCTGGCTCTTGAGACCGGCTTGGAAGGCTTTGGCCTTTATATGCTGACCAATGTCATGGGTTGGGAATACGCCGATGTGCAGGTGTGGTTGGCCAGAGTTCGAGAAGCACTGAGGAATAGGAGTTACCATGGTTATTCCACCTGGTGAGTGTCCCTTTTTGAGGCACGACAGAATCTGGTTTGAGACGCTAACATCCGGGAAGGGGAAGCGCATGGGCTCAGAAGCCCGAGGTTTAGCAAGCAGATGGCTGGCTAAAGAAGAAGTCGTTGACCGGGAGACACCATCGACACCACCACAGACGCAGTCTACGCAGACGAGACCTCAACCAGCTGCGACCCGATCAGATCCGCATAGAAAGTCAAGTCTGCAAGTCGATTGACCAAATGCGGGCTTTGATCAAAGAGCAAATCGTCAAGGTTTACCCCAACCCTCTCGCTTGCTTGATTTAGGCCATCAGAAAATTACGCCGCCAGACTATGATACCGTGTTTGTTTGCTGTGATACAATATGGTGGGTGTGATTGACAGTATTGTAATCCAAAAGCCGCTCCCCTGTGTCTTCTGGTGTAAGTGTGGTCTGGTGTAATGCTGCCTATCGGAGGGGTTGGAAACATGGCCGGCGAGGCGCCGAGAAGTAAGACCGACGCTGTCGTGCGCGAGTCTCAGGTAGGATCAAGGCGAAGGCAGGCACCATCATCACCTCAAGGACCATCTAGGCTATAACATAATGTAGAGCGAGGCTCGCGATCGAATCAATGATGGGCGAGAGGCTGGGATAAATGCATCATTGTGACCGGCCACAAAAATAGATGATAAATCACCGACCGCCTTGCCGCATGGAGATCGGCCGTGGCTACGGGCATCTTGGCGCATTAGGCAACAACCTCTTAACAAGACAGACTCTATTGATACGCACCCAACTCTCAATTCGTACGCACCCCCCCAACATTCAGCCACAATGCCTCCGACATCGCCCCGTGAGCTATGTCTCCGGCATTTCCAACAATGCGGTCCACAACCATGGAAAATAAGACAAGACTAGCCCTAACTTAATTGCAGCTACCTTTGGTGCTAAGGCAGTATCGAACTACCTTAATTGTTAAATTCCTCCCCGGGTAACTTCCTAATCCGTTGCAACAGTAATGCTATCCCCAACCTTTTCTTTTCCCGTTTCCTTTGCAGGCGACGACTCTGTTATTTCCGGGTTTTCTTCCACTTCAAGAGCAATATGCCGCTCAATTGGCTTGTTCGTATCTTCCTGTCTCTTTGCCTGTTGACGAGCAGCTTGAGTTGTTACTGAAACAGCAACTTTACGCCGTTTTCGCCGAGGTTGTTGGTCATGTAAGTCAGTTGCATCTTCCTCGTCAAGAGTTGGTCCCAGTTCGAACTGGGAGTAATTTCGACGCGCTGACCTCTGCACGCCACTTCGTGTTGAGCCTTGAGGGGCAAATTGTTGTTCTGGGATTGCACGTTCGTTGCCAAATGGTTCGCTATTTCGTGGTCGACCCTTAGGTATCCCCATTGGAGGACGTTTTATTTGAAGAAGAGGATCGTCAATGTCTCGTGATCGTTTGATATGCCAAAATGGATCCAAGTCTTCCTTCTTTAGTGGTTCGTCTTGAAAAGCCAACTCCAAGAGCCTGTGAGCACAAGGCAAGCCATACTGAGTTCTCGTAGAGCCTGTACAAGGTGGCAACATCTTCTTGGAGACCTCGCTTGATTCCATAAGCCTATGGATCTCGTCCAGCTGGTCTAATGCCCAACGAGTGACAGTTAAGGGCAACTGGCCAAGCCATTCTCTTCCCGAGAACTGGTTCCGAATAGTGGTATTTGCCAGCTGTATTTTGTCTTTATACAGCTGACGTTTATCGTCTGTCTGACTAGCCGTTGCTGCTTCAACATCAGGGAGGTCAGACCGAAGGGATAGGTGGTAGGTCTTTAGAGAATGATGGTTTGATTCGGCGGGTGCTGTAGTAATCAATCCGAAGTTTCGATAATAGCGAGTATAGCAGCAAGCCCATTCTCTCTTCAAGGGCAAGTATGTATCCTTGAGATATCTAAGAATTCGCTCCTGGTGTGGGAAGGTCTGTTGAATTTGCCTCCAAGCTTGATTGAAGTCTTCTTCCGATCTAGTATATACCATATATCTCCAGAGGAGGTACAGACCGGCACGAGTATTTAATACTCGTTTGGGAAGAGGACCAAGCTTTGCATTCTTCATGTCTTTGACTTTGGTATTCCCACGCTCCAGCTCTTGGACATCAGCTGCGTCTGCATTGTCTTGGTCATCGTCCAGATCAGAGTCCAGTGAGTCGTTGGCTTTCTTCCACCACTTCTTGATGTATAAGACCACGTTGCTGTTGATATGGAAGACACACAGCTGAAGTTGCGTATTGGGAAAGATTTGCCGGATTGCATTCCGCAATTGATCGTCCTTATCTGTAATAACGACCTCTGGGGGACTGATGATGCCTGCTCGTTGGAATCTAGATACCTGCTTGAGAAACCACTCAAAACTAGCAACTTACTCGTTATTGAGTAGACCATAACAGATAGGCATAGATGTCTTCTCTGAGGATACAGCCACAACAGTAACCAAAGGCATTTTATAGCAGTTGGTACTATATGTAGCATCAATCTGGAGACATGACGAGAATTGTTGCCACATTTTGCCACCTTTGTGATATCCCCAAGCGGCATTTCGAAAGCGGAATTCGTCCCCAATCCAGTCTAGCCCCCATATCCAGACTTTCTTCGACTCAGAGAGCGTCCGTACAAAGTCGTTGGCAGGGCCGTAGCCCTGACGTTTGGTCTGGTTGACTTTCCATCGCCAGTTGTAAATATCGGTTCTGCGAATAGGAATCTTTGGACCACTTTTGACAGAGTTGCTTATGAACGGATCGACAGGAAATCGTCTTGTCAAGACAGAGATCTACCAGAAGATTCATTTGTTCCTCTGTTAACCTTCTCCAATAGTAGTGCTCGGTAAGATTTTTCGATCGGCCGTGATCTCGATGAAGAGGACTGACAATTCTCATGGACCATTCGTAATTGTTGGTCTGGAGAGATTGAACGATAATCTTGAACGGGCAGTTGGCGGCCAACTTTGTTGTAGTCGTATTCCGTATTTTGGCAGTGGATTCCCTTGGATTGTACCGACTCTTATCACAAACAAGCTCATATTTTATCGTTCTTGTCTTCGCCTTATCCTTTTGACTTCGTAACGTAATGAGACCCATCCGATTCTCAATACAGAACTCCTTTAGGGCATCAAAGAGTCCGTCAGAAGACTCATAGGTTGTTGTCAGAAGTGGAGAGTCCGAGGGAAAGACTACCTCCCAAGGCTGACCGTCCCAGTCGTCAGGGCCGTGGAAATCGTCACAGTCATCGGAATCGCTACATTCATCCGCTGATTCGACTGGTAGCGCTTCACGGGGTTCAGGAAGCCCTGGAGGGAGCGCCGGAGGCGGCATCGGAACGGCCATGGCGATAGCTTATTGTTAGGTCACACAATGATGCTGGGTGAAGCTGTTTTACTCCATCTACTTCTTGTTCTTTTGCTATTCTCCTTTGAACAGGATTCTAATGCTCTATATAGTTAGCCTCTTTGAACAAAGTGTAGAGGTCAGAGATCTAGGACTTTTGAGTCCTACAAAGTCTACCATCTAGGACTCGGTCCTATAAGGACTACTGGAGCACCTGCAGCAAGCTGGCAATTGATTATCTTCTCAACATTGCTTAATTCGTTGTTGTTAACAGTCGGGAAAATACTGCACACGAGATATCATTGTCGGCGAATTGCAAGGTTGGCGACATCGGGAGGCATTGTGGCTAGTATGTGGCTGAATGTGGGGGGGTGCGTACGAATTGAGAGTTGGGTGCGTATCAATAGAGTCTGTCAAGATTAATTACAGTCAATAACAAGAACAGCCTTTTTTTATTTTTATGAAGTGCATTCAGCATCCCTACATGATCCAACAACAGAATCCAACAACAAAACGTCTCCGCGGCCGCCTTCCTTATCACCCTCAGAATCCTGAGCATCGGAGATTGTACCCGTTGCTGCCGGGTCGATATAGCAACACTAGAGTCGATAATTAGACAATCGAACACCTCCCGAAGCGGAATGCTTACTTCTGAAGGGACTATTAGAGCGCTCCTGTCCCAGGATCGCAAACATTCCAAGAGATTCAAAGTTTCAATATTCATAGATCCTCGCTGGTCAGTTACCGTAAGTTTGGCTTTGGAGAAGAGTCGCTCTGTCTCAGTAGACATAGGCGCAATCGACAGAATGTCGATGGCCATCAAGGATAAGTTAGGGAATCGCCTTCGCTGGGCCGATTCTAGCCACCATTTCAACGGATCCGGTACCATCAGCACAGGCTCGCGGCAGTACACTTCGTACTCGTCATCATCCATGTTGAAAATCGTAGCCTTCTGCTCTTTCATCCACATTTTGTACCCATTTGGTCGTCCTGTAGATGGCCCTTGTGCCGAGCTTGGTCAAAAAACAGCGCAGAAGGGGGTGGTTGACTTGTACGTTTCCCTCCAAAGTTCCCCCACGCGAGCTTTAGCTTTCTCAATCCACTCATTCCTGTCCTCCCACGTCTTTTCCATGTAAACCCACTTGAGAGAAGGATGTAATACTGTTGCTGCTGAATAGACCGGTGAATCTTCCGTCAGTTCATAGTAGTCGGCCAGTTTGGCCCAGGCCGCCTCCATCATTGTAGCCAAGTAGGGTTGGGTGGTGGCCTCCTTGGAGGCCTCGATGTGATGCAGGAGATAATCCATGGTAGGCAGAACGTCAGATATGGAGTCTCCCATGCCTTCGTTGGCCATTGTAGCATCGTGAAATGGCTCAAGAAATTTGTGTGTCTCGGCCAAAGTTACCCAGTCAGAGGAAGTCAGCACATCCCCTTGCTGGGCCGGCTCTTGCGCACAAAATATGGTGATGGCTTGCCGGACTTTAGGCCTGAGTGCCCACTCAACCATTTTGTACCACGAATTCCAACGAGTGTCGTTGTCGCGCCGTAACCTCAGACCGTCGCTGAGAGCAGTAAACGTTTGAAGTCGCTGGGGGGTCCACATGATGTAGACCACGATATTATGAAGTTTTCCTATCGCCCCTCGCTTTCTCCATTGCTCAACCTCCTCGTCGGACGGCCCACGGTAGGAATCTATTGTGGGTGGTCGCTTTCCTATGAGGAACTCCATCACGGCCAGATTAATGATGTGACCGAAACAACGAAGTCGGTGTGGAAGAGGGTCGTAGAAAACATCGAACTCGTGTTCCAAGTCGTCGGAGATTTTGTCGATCATGGTGTTCATGTTGGTGGCATTATCCATCATGAAGTATCCAACTTTCGATGCGATTCCATATTCTCGTATGAACTCCATGATGGCTTCTGCCATGTTCTCGCCGCTGTGTTGTCCTTCCAGCTCCTTTATCCTCACCACGAGGGACTGCAGGCCATGATCTTCAGTAACGAATTGAACTGTGAATCCTATTACGCCCAAACAATTTGGCGATGTCCAGTTGTCGGGAACAATGTGGATCGAGGAAAGTGCATTTTGCAGAGCTCGCTTCACAAACTCCTTTTTGTTGTCGTAGCCCCATTGTAAGTCGTTTTTAACCGTATCGCCAGACCTCGGGAGGAAGTCATCCGCAGCCGGACAAATGTACCGGATAAAGTCGCGAAAGGCAGGCTGTTCAACATGAGCAAAGGGAAGACTGCAGGCGACGGTGTAGCGGCAGTACAGCTCGCGCAGGGTGGCTTGGTCAAGTGCATCTGCCTCTGCCGTCGCCTTGCGTTTCTTGGCGGAGTGTAGAGTTTCATTCGCCAGGAATGCAGTGATGTCTCCAAGACGATTTTGCGTGACTTCCCGCCGGATTTCTTGTCTTCCAGAGACCAGAATCTTGTGCTCCTTGCGCAAATGATTGACGATGGTGGACGATCCACCTGAGTAGTTGTATTTCTTCTCTCTTTTCTTGTCGAAGCAGGGTTGGCAATGCCACCATTTCGTTCCGTTGGAATCGACCCAGGCTACCGGAGTACTCTTGCCTGCTTCTATTCGGCAGTACTCCCAAACAGGAGATGTCCTTGGGCGGGACATGCTAGGAGTTGACGAAGACGATGGTGTCAGCGCACGGGTGGCCACTGTAAGTTCAGAATCGTCCAGGTGGCTGCACTGGCTGGCGCTGCCAATAGCACTGGCAGTCTCGGAGAAATCCATGATAGAAGACATGATTCGGGGGATGGCAAGTAGACAGCAGGGGTGGTGATGACAGAGCACGGTGGGAGAGAATTGTCTGGCGACTTCGATGGTGGTGCGCACAGAGATTATGTAGCAGACGACTTTCTCTCTGACCATTCTGGACTCTTGAGAGTGGATGAGTACAAATACCCAGACATGATTTTCGGTAGTCGTTCGGGCCAAGCCCACAGGGTGCGCAATCAACTATCCACTTCCAATCGTTGGACGCGTTGGATCCTGCATCTGTGGCCCAACTCATCTGAGATCTCACTCCCCGTGCTCGGCAACCAACCGATTTCTCCTTCTGGGGGCCACCGTGAAACTGTCCGCCTGGCGCCCACAACTTGGGCCCACCTTCGACTTCCCAGTTTGGCTCTGCTCACAGCCCGCTGACCAATGACCAGCCGCTGAGGGCCAGCATCCCGTCATGCTTCACGAAAAACTTTGGATCGTCGTTGCACTGTTCCACCAGCGCCGGTTTCGCGCTCTTCTCGCGACAGCTTGGTGTCTGATTAGAATTGATTCTTGAGTTCGTTATTCGGCTTGCGCACGTAAGGTTGACAGGGGCTCGGAAGTTGAGCATCCACGTGAAGGTATGCGGGGGATCTGCGAAGTCGCTGGCACATCGGTCCAGGGGTGTATATTGGCTTGGGCGCAGGTCCACAAGACCAGCGGACTCCCGTCTTCGTCGATAAAAACGATATGACATGTATCTCTTGACTGTAAATCGACGACTCGGGAATATATCTCTAATCATATTGGAATTGATACCAGACGGATGCTCTCAGCACAGAAGATTCAGTGACTATATCGTAACCAGTATGAAATATGATTCTTACGCAGAGAGCAGCCGTGTTTACTAGCATCTCAAGTGATTTGCCGAGGTGCGTGTTACGCGAGCGAACCTACCCTACATGCGCCGGATAGGGGATACTTTGCATGCCACCTACCTGTAATGGCGGGGCTGGTATCTCTTAACGCCACCGGGCGGGTTTTCGCCGCTCAGATAACATGCACTTCATCATCTCTCACGTTGCAGATATTCTTCCTGGAAATCGGCCAGGTAGCCCATTCAAAGCTATAAAGTAGGTTGCTGTTGAACAGGTCGAAATATGTAATTCTGGGATCTTGTTAGGCCGATGGTTTCAGTTGCATGATACTTGGTTTGCCATAGATTAACGCAGTGCTGGGCTGTACCGGCTAACATATCTTAGCAGTGCATCGAAATTTTTACCAAACGCGTGTCACGCGTTGGATCGCGTAGTTGTTGAATTGGCACTCTGCAGCAGGCCACAGATTTGGAAAGACGCTGCCTGAGTCACCCCGAATCTTGGACAGACTATTAGTCAGACTGTTAGTCTGCGATCCTCGGACTGGACTACTGGTCGGTCTGGTAGAAGTCAGACTGAACCATCAGTCCAGTCCGAGAGACGTAGACTGGACCGTCAGTCTAGTCCAAGAGACGCGGACTGGACCGTCAGTCCAATCCGAGAGACGCAGACTGGACCAATAGTCCACGGACTATTGGTCTGGACTGCAGTTTGGACTAATAGTCCAGTTTTTGGTCTGGACTATTAGGAGCGCTGAAAGAGATGAATGCAGTTGCAAAGGCAACCAACAAGTTGCGAGCGAGAAGCATCATGTATACTTCGAATGAAACGAGTCTAGATAAGGAACGAACAGAAAAGAATGATTTAGACTGGAAAGATTTTACATGCTGTTAGAGGTTCAGTAACTCTTATGGTGAATGGTGTGAAAAGATAGGGATCGGCCAAAGTTAAAATAAGCGTCAGGAGCCGCGCATTAACGGTCGGTCTAACGATCATGCCGGCTGACGACGACTTTGTAACACCAGTAGATCATATCGGCCAACCTCAAGAAAGAGCGAGAAATGACAAAAATAGTTTTGAACTGGTTATGGGTTTCCAGGAACACAAGTTCTACTCTTACACCACCACAGTTATCAGAACCTTTTAGAGTGTCATGGTCTCTCCACCCAATCAGAGCCTAGCCCGACGTGATCATTTTCTAAATTTGGTTATACGAAATGAAACAGTCAATCCGTTCCATGTTTCTGCCGAAAAGGATGATGCCGGGAATTGTTCCGGGAGGCCGGTTTGTTCCAGGCAAAACTGGCGACAGACCCAAGAATGGCCGCTTCTTTGGGGTCTCCGGTAGTTGAAGCCCAATGGAGAACCTACCCAATAAGGCATTACCGGCGCTGGTTGTGTCCACCACCTTTGGGGAAGCTGTGTCGTGGAAGGCAGCGAGCCACTGTGTCCCAGCTTTTGTCAAGGTCACACAGCCATGCTCGCCACAACGTACAACGATGATATCCTGACCTTCGTGCCCGATACCTGCATCTAGAAAGCGCCGGGAGTACTCTTCTATGGATCCTCTCGAAAAACACTATGTGCTGTCTTGCCTGCCTAGCCTATCCTAGACTCTGGTGCGACAATCCATGTATTCAACAAGCTCGAACGCTTTACAAGATACCGATCAGCCAAGGCAGACGACTTCCTCATCGCAGGAGAAAACCAGGTTCTAATACAAGGATACGGTCAGGTTGATATTCAGACTAAGGGACTTAATGGTTCTAGGACTATTAGTCTAGCTGATGCAGCCTATTGCCCTGACTTCCCTTGCAACCTAGTATCTCTACGGAAGCTGTTACGGAAGGGCTATTGGTGGGACACACGTCCAGCCTTCAACTGTCTCCGTACAGCTAACGGATCTATCCTTTGCTATCTATCTGATCAATATGACCAGTTTGTTATTGAAAGCATTCCATTTAATCAAATGATAGATGCAGAGACTGCCTTCCTATCTCGACACAAGCATAACTCATCGACCTGACCGAGAGCAGAAAAACAAGATGCCCGAAGATAGCACCTACGCCTTGGTCATCCAGGTCCTGATACCTTGGAACGGCTAGTCAGGAAAGTAACAGGAGCCCGGATCAAAGGGATCCCAACAGCTAAATGCGATGACTGCGGCATATCGAAGATGAAACGTCAGATTAGCCGGAGACCTAGGGACCTAGAAAACGGACCTGGCCTAAGACTGGCAATTGACTTCCATGACTTCGAAAAGGGTCCGGAAGGGAGGGATCTAAATGGACACATCAGCCTGTTATTGATAACAGACCGCTATTCAGGTTACATCTGGGACTATTACTTGAAAAGCCGACAACACAAGGATCTTATCCCTGTTTTACGACCGAGTGCTACGGTATGCTTCTCATGACAACTTCAAACACCAAGACAAGTCAAGTCACATAATGACTGCGAAAGAGGTCAAATGTCAACTTAAAAAGATTTGTTCATTGTTTGGCTGCTCTTCAAACCAGGCAAAGGAGCGACGCGAATTGAAACGACATCGCTTCTCACGACAATACTCTAACACAATGGGAAATAGCCGCCAGGCTTGATGCAAAGTACATGAGCGAGCCCGCCCACCAAATGAGACTTCGACAATGGCTGAATAGAAAGATACAAGGAGACATATAACGCCGTAGTCCGCAGATTTTGATCCAAGCCAACCGCCTAAGACAAAAACAGAGATAAGAGAAACGGTTGTGAGATGAATTAGGTGCATAAGATGGAGATAGACCGTTTCAACAGTCACCATGCGCGAAGGAAGAGAGGAATGCTGTTGCCGGGCTTCATTTTACGTCACTGGAATGGCACGCAATTGACGATCAGACGCTGTCTGAGATACTCAGCGAGTACCGCCCAAGAGCGCTGATCCTGGCACCCGATGGCCGGTGCATCAGGGACTCGGGGTGCTTGGAGACGACTCCCGTCTCATGGGTGACGCCGCCGTTGTCGCTTCGGCTCTCCTCGAAGTCCTCCTTGTCGTCCTCGACAATCTTGGTGGGGATCTCGTCCCGAAGGTTATACTGCTGGGACGCTCGCTCCGGAGTCGTAGCCGTAGAGGCAGAGGACATGGCTGTGCTGCTCCGGTTGGGAATGAGATCCGGGGTGGGAGGGATACTGGACACCCTCCCGGAGCCCGCCTGGAGGAGGCTGTCGTCACTGGTCTCGGACGTAGCGGCGGAGTTGCCGTCATCGCTCTGGGCGATAGAGAGGCTAGAATTCCGTCTACTCCCCCTCAACTCCGCATCTTGTGCTAACTGGAGACCCTCAACAGCAGCCTGGCACTGCTCGGCAATGTTTCGCACAATGTGTGCGATAGCGTCCGTCTTGTCCTTGAGGTGACGGTCGGCGACGTCAATGAAGCTCGACGACGAGTATCGCTTGCTTCGGGGGTTGGGGCTGACAGACAGGCGGCCATCGCGCTCACCTTCCTCGTTGAGGTGGTCGTCGCCATCATCGTAGCCCTCCTCAATCTCGTGGGCCAGGTTATTGGGCTTGGTAAGAGACTGGATAAGGTGCTCCATATGATGGCTCTGACCGCCAATGAGGCTGCGCAGGTGCAGACCAACCCGGCGTGCCTCGTCGCGCTGTCGCAGGATGGTCATGTTGGTGTGCTGAAGCTGAGAGAGCTCCTTCTTGTTCCTCTTGCGCTCGCGCTCAAGCTCCTCAGCAATCTCGTGCTGTAAGACAAGAGCCTCGAGAGCATCGTCGCGCTGCTTCTCGGTGCCAGTGAGACAAACTGAGAGACGAGCATTGTCATCCTTCTGCTGGTCAATGAGACCCACAAGGCGGCGGTTCTCCCTCTTGTGGTTCTCAACCTTGACCTTGAGATCCTGGGTCTCCTTGGTAAGCTGCTCAGCAAACGCCTGGAACTTGAGGAACTGCTGCTTCCAGATCTCGAGTTCCTCCACGAGGTAGTTGTTGCGTTTGGTGACCTTGCTGAGCTCAGTATCCATGCGGCCCTTGAGGTTGATAAAGTCCTGCCAGGCCTCCAGAGCATCTCGCGAGTACTGGGTTCTCTCACGGACAATCTCGTTGAGGTGACGCATCGAGACCTTGGTCATGAGGGGCTTCTTGACGGATCCACCAAAGACGGCCTTGAGGCCAGTGTTGCGGCCGAGCTTCTCGCAGACATGGTCCATGACAGCCATGACGGCGTCCTGGTTCCACCATTCGGGGTCCTGGATGGACTCGACTTCGCCGCGCATGACGATGATCTGACCCGCGGGGACAAGCTTGCCGCCACCGTAAGCGGATCGGAGGTGCTGAGGAACACCCGAAGGAGTGACATCGCCGTTGAGAGCCTGTGTCAGTCGGGTAACGAACTTATTGCGCTGACCGGGAGTCAGGGCCGTGGGGGGGCTGGAAGTCAGGACAAAGTTGCGATCAAGGTCCACAACCAGGGCATCGGTGGGAGCCGTGAAGAGAGAGCGGCACTCCACCGTGATACCCAGGATGTAAGGGCCGGGCTCCTGGACGAGCTTCTTGGCGTGGCGGGCGTGAACAACGGGGACGTAAAGGCCGCCCCACTCGTAAACTCGGACGCAGTATCGAACGGTCTCGGCGGCCATGGTGAGCATGGCAGGGTAATGACTGACGAAGATGATACGGCGGGTGGGAGAGATGGCAGCCTCGATGACACCGACAATGTTGGGAATCGACAGACAGTTGAAGAGGGGCCACATGGCGAAGTTCTGGAAGCCTGTCGGGGAGGAGGGGAATTGGTAGCAGAGAGCGTAGTCTTTCATGTCGATGCGGACAAGGTCGTTGAGACGGGGAGCAGGGAAGCTGAGGATGCGGGTGACCTCCTCGTCGTGGAACAAGTTGGTGGACTTGTTCCAGTGAATCCACATTCCTCGGAGATAGTCACCAAGGAGGTTGTACAGAGGATATCGCGAGAGGAAGGACAGGCAGTAAGGGATCCAGTAGGTCTCATCGGGGTTGTCGTAGTAGTCGTTCTCGGTCCTCTTGCGAAGGTCACGTATGGTCTCGGCCCTCTTCTCGTCCCCTCGCGACCACACACGGAGGCAAATGCCGTAGAGAGTGTGAGAAGAGTCTTGCTGAAGAACGTAGGCGTGGTGAACGCAGTGAGGCTGGCTTCGGCCAGTGCAGATCTCGACATCGTGGGGGAAGCAGGCCTATAGGACAGGATAGCCTCTGGTTAGCAAAACTGTTTCTTGAAGAAGGACTGAGTAGTACGAACCCTCATGGCGGCATGAAGAGCACGGGCAATTTCATTGTCTTGCTCAAGACGCGGGCTGCTGCCCAAGATCTCTGGAAGCCAGAACTGGCCGACGGCACCCTTCATGTGGCCGATCTTGCCCTGAGCTGGGGGAGGAGCCTTGACCCATTGGGAGGGTTCACGGCCAACACCGCAGACTATGTAGGCATGAGTAAGAGTCTTGGGGGTGCGCTGCTGAGGCTTGAGGTTGAGGGTGGAAGGAATGGGCTGAGTGATGCGCGAGTGCACCGAAGATGTCCCGCTGGGAATCAGGAGGTTCTGGTCAGCGCCCTGGTCGCGGGTGCTGGGCCTGCCATCGCGGTCGCTAGTCCGAGGACGGGTGAATGAGAGATGAGTGCTCAGGGAGGGAGGCATGGTTGTGGCTGAGAGGATCAAATCCTCGTTGTCGTCGTCGATTCGAGGTATGAGATCGTCGTCGTCGTGAAGAGAGAGAAAATGCTGGTGTCTGTGCAGTTCTCTCGTAGGGAGTTGACCGCCTAGCTGTCTTGGTCAGTCCTCCGTTTCCTGTTCCCCTTGCGTAGGTCTAATGTTCTCGCTCGAGGTCTCGTTCCTCTCTCAGTTGGTCATCCAAGACTCGACTCGATCGGCCTTGGGAGAGAGAACAAGGGAAGAAAGAGAAAGAGTCAAAGTAAAGAATAAGGGGAAGAAGGAAAGGTGAAGGGGGAAAAGTGAAGAGGTGGTGGGAAGTTTGAAGTTGAGGGGGAGTGAAGTAGAGTAGGAGTAAGAGCCAAGAGGAAGCAAAGAAGCGAGACAAGATGCGGCACCAGTCAAGGAAGGAATGGAGAAAAGGCACCACCGAATCTGTAGGTACCTCGGAAGTACGTACTTTTTCAGTTGAGCTGCTAAACTACTCCGAAAGCACGCAGAAAGGGACCAGAAGCAACAGACAGACGAGCAATGGACAGGCTTGGCGGGCGAAAAGATGAGACGGACAGCGGGATAAGCAAAAAAGAAGGATGGGGCCAGGGGCCTTGTTCCCTGTTCCCTCTCTTGGGATCGGCTAGTTAAGTACAGTTGTCCATTTCAAAAGTTCTGTCCTAAGCTAGAGGCGCCACATCCCTTTATCCTTGTCGGGTACCTGAGGTACATACTGGACAAGCCAGTACCCTGGAGGCATCCGCTACATCCCCTATCGCTTCAGGGGCGGTAGGTACTGGAGGCCAAGGGTTAGTGATTGATAGTGTGCTATAGTCTCTGGGCTTTAGGGGTTTATGGGAGGAGAAAAGTACTCTATGTATTTATCCTCGATCTGATTGGTTGCCTTAATATTGTTGCTTTTTCCTTGGACAAAACTTTTGAAATGGTCCTCCGTAAGGTTTGCTGTATTTTAATGAGGTATATGGGCTGCAAAGGCAATGAAAGGTGATAGCTTGTATCGATGTATCTCGGCTAAGAACTCGCAAGCCTATTGGCTGGAGATTTAGCTATGACTTTCTCGAAGGACAGAACTTTTGAGATGTGCCTGCGTAATAAGTCTCAAATTCCTTCCATTCTTCATCCCGATCTCTGTCTCTCTTGAGTCTTGTTCTTTTTGTCTCGCTCTCCCGTAGCCCCGTAGCGTGGCCACTTACAGGGGGGGACAAGTCCACTAGCGGGGGCGTCACTCCCCACACTCCGGAAACCCTGGCCCAAAAGATTGTAGTGCCCGTCTTGGCCAATCGCAACTCAGGGATGCAAGCTCTGGTCCCCAACGTGGGAAATTGTCTCTGCCGATGATGCAGGGACGTGAGTTGGTTTTAAATGGGCTCAAGGTTCTCGATGGCGCATCTTTGTGCAAGATGATGAAGAAAGAAAAAGCGAAGTGCATTTTACATGGAACAAAAGAGGCGTTACTTACTGTTGTCGCTCGACGGCGGGCTGCGTCGAGGACAAGTGAGTGCCAGGAGCTGGACTCGGTCTTGCCAGGAGGCATTCGATATGCTCAAAAACAGTTTCACTTCAGCCCCAATCCTCAGACACTTCGACACCGCGAAAGAAGTGTTTGTCGAATGCGATGCATCCGATTTCGTGTCTTCGGGTATCCTCTCCCAGGAAGACGATCAGGGAGTACTACATCCAGTGGCTTTCATGCAGCGCTCCTAATACTGGTGGGCGCCTCTAATCCGGCCCCCCCGTGTTGGTCGCTCCGCTCCCACGGGGGGGTCACTGACTAACAAAAGGTGCCCTTGACTCACAAAGACCTCTAAATAAATGATGTGGCCACTAATTATTAAGTACCTTATGGTCCAGAATTTTTTTTGGAGCAGGGTTAGGGTTAGAGTGAAGAGAAGTGACTTCATACTTCTAACAAATTGGCGTCACTCAGAAGTATCTGATTTTGCGAATCAAAGGCACCTTTTGCTAGTCAGTGACCTCCCCGTGGGAGCGGAGCGACCAACACGGGGGGGCCGGATTAGAGGCGCCCACCAGTAGTCCAGACCATTTGGACTATTAATCCAGACTACACCGTCACCCGCGGCAACGTTGCTATCAATTCAAAAGCAAAAATAAGAGCATCCGATTGGCCAATTTTTATTCCACCAGTTAGAATGCGATATTAATTGCTTTTGAATTGAATTGATACAGCGTTACGAGTGTAGTCTGGACTAATAGTCCAAATGGTCTGGACTATTAAGAGCGCTGCTTTCATGTCCAAAAAGTACGACCCCGCCGAGTGTAACTACGAGATCTACGACAAAGAACTTTTAGCCATTGTACGCTGCTTTGAATGTTGGAGACCCGAACTCCAAGGCGCACACCACCAGATTACAGTCATTACCGACCATGCCAATCAGGGTAGCGATCAACGCAATCCACTCAACCTCAGCCTTCAATTGAGTGAGTTGACTGCTTAATAAGCTTTTCTTCCGTTGAGTTGATCAGCCCAGGTCCTATATTGAGTTGGTTGGGGTTGCGTTTATGGTTGACCAGCGCCCCATACCGCGTAGTCCTACCTTCGTCGCCAGTTTGGTACCCAACGACCCAACGCAAGCCTACTCCCACCAGAGATGCTCATCAATCCACCAGATCAACGCGTTGATCAATATATTGACATCAATCCACGTCAATATCAATCCACGGCTGGGTAGCTGACATAATCTATCAATCCACACAATCCTCTCGATGGATATTGATTGATGATCGTTGACACTAGACATGGGACCCTTGCCAGGCTTGGCAATGTTAGATCCAGATATCTTCTCCCGAGTAAAACATAAGTCATTGTTAACATGCACTAACACCAAGTAAAATAATGGCTGAATCACTTGAATCGCGTTGCGTTGCGTCGCGTCAGAAAGCCCCTACTTGCTACGCTTTCTTTCGTAATAAATCTAATACTACTGTGTGATGGGCAGGGACGAGAGACACTAGAAACCCACAACCCACCCAAAAGGCAGATTGGTGATGACCGCGGTAGTGATGTGTCTGAAAGGGCGGATAGGGTCGGGATCAGGAATAGGATAAATGGGTCAATTGAATAGAAAAGACGGCTACCTCATCTGGTACCATTTGATCAAATGGATCACTGAGAGATATCATAAGAGTAGGCCAAAAGACTGTAAATTGAGCTCAAGACTGATTGTGACTGATGACGTTGCTTGCTTGATGCTTGATGCTTGATGCTTGATGCTTGATGCTTGATGCTTGATGCTTGATGCTTGATGCTTGATGCTTGATGCTTTAGCTACCAGTATCAGAGCTTCTCTTTTATGGTCCCAATGGGTCAGGCCACTGGTCCCAATCCGGTACGGCCTTTCCTGTTGAAGGAAGCCGCAGCAATCTTGGCCATAGTCGCGGCAAGGATCTGATCAAATGACCAATATCCCCAAAGACAGCAAAAATCCCTGACTCAATGGTTTCTTCTCTGACTTCAATAACCGAAGCAGCCTCCGATTCTGGCCCTGACTCCCCCGAAGAGCTATGGTTCACCATAACATGCTTCTGTTCGCTTCCTTTTTCTGGATTGGCTTCTCCAGAGGCTAGAGCCTCGCTCAGAGTCATGAAACATTTATTGGGATTCGGAATAGCCTTCCTCTTCTTCCCTCTCTTCAGACGTGCCAGTTCCTCCTCCATGCCAGCAATTCTTATGGCATGCGCCATTAACGTCTGTTGTTGAGTCTCAAAGCCTTTGGCTATCACGTTATACCGTCTCCGTGTCTTTGGTGTTTTGTTTAGCCCAAGATCGCGAATCTGGCGGCTGGTTTTTTGTGTATCATCTGAGCCAAAATACTGCGCCCGCTCCGGAGTCCTTTTTGGGCTGTCATTCCGCCTATCCTCTTGGATTTCTGGGTGCCGTAGAGCTTTGGCTCGCGAAATTGGCCAATTGCCAGTAACTCTCCAGCCGGAGAGTATATTCTTCTTCGTCATTCCCACTTCACGAGCCTTGGCGTAGGCTCTGATGAAATTGACCTTATCCATCGGAACAGAATCAGTTAGGGCAGCGAACTCTTCCAACTCTCGTCGATATGCAGCTTTGGAGGCGTTAAATACTCCATTGTCCAATGGCTGAAGGCCGTGAGAGCAGTGTGCTGGAAGGTAGCAACAGTAAATGTTGTTCACAAAAGAATGTAGCAATCTATTCGTCCTTCGCTCGGTTAGCAGCGACCTTTGGATAGGTAAACAAAGACAGTACCATTGCATGGCTCCCGTGGCCGTCTAGAATGATTAATCTGGCATCAGACTCATCGGCAGGCTTAGTTTGGGGCAAATAGACTCTTTCAAGCCATTCAACACCAATGTGGTCATCAGCAGTGATCGGAATGGTCTGGTCTGTCTTGGTCTCGGTCTGGTCTAGACCGCCAAGACTTGGTCTGGTCTGGAGATTTCTCGAGACCATGGTCCGACCGGTCCGACCGGTCCGACCATTAACTGCTATAAATAGATCGGGGTGGCTGAATCTTAGCCTAATGCAGTTAGAACATTCACGGATAAGGATAAGGATAAGGATAAAGATTAGTAATGAACCCCTGAGATCTCGCTTCGCTCTGGATCTGTTTGCGATCTCACCTATGTCAGATGAGTGCGAACGGCTTTTTAGTAGCGCAAAGCTTACTATAGTTGATCGCCGTGGTAAGCTGAAGGTAGATATTATAGAGGCTTTTGAGTGTCTCCGGGCCTGGTATGGAAAGCCCCAGGTTGAGGATAACAGTGATAGTGAGAATAATGAGAATGACAACGAATAGGTCGATAGCTATTAGTAAAATACATTTCCTGTCTTCCACTACTTCAGCCGCATTCTTGGCGGTCTTGTATTTGTTTGTATTTTTATTTCGCCTGGGGACACACACCATAGGGCTAATGCGCTAAGCTGTTTACGTTTATTGGCGGTCTTCTTGGTCGGACCGGTCTGGTCGGACCGGTTATTACGTAAGCAA